ATTAAAATTTCGAAAGATATGTTGATGAATTCCCGATGCTCGACTGTAAGTCATTCGTATATATATGCGTTTTTTTGGGTTTTTTTTTTAAAGCTTCTTATTCTTTAATATTTTTTATGTATCTCATAATCTGTATTGAAAATTTGAATTTTATTACACATGGACTATCAAATTATGATGCGTTGCCATAGAATGGAATAAACTTTCTAATTACACAATACGGGGTCATTCATTTGATTGAAGACTGACTTTTGTGTCTTTCTCTGAAATAATTATTTCCTTGTTAAAACATATTTGACCACATATTTCTGTCATTTAACTGTTCATTTTACTTCCGATTTTTGTTGTACCGAAACACATGTTTCTATTTGTGTTTTCTAATGAATTCGAATCTATAATCTGTTTAATGGGATCACCAACGACTACTAGGTACTTTGGTCATGTTTTTTACCCCAAATATTTGAATGTTTCTATTGGGATTAAAATGAGCGTAGTAAGTAACTAAACAACTGGTTGTATAATTCCCTGACCTGTCTAATTCTAATTATGAGATTAGTGGATAATATTAAGACTTTCACTACAAAATATTCCTAAACAAAAGAGCACATGTTTAAATTTATTGCTATACAAATAAAAGATCAGAGTAGGTATCTGTCAATTGCCAGACATATTTTTAAAAGATACTTTTATGTTAAAAGTTTGATTAATGAATTATGTAAGATGAAAATATAAGTATTGCTTTTTTAATTTTGCTAATGTAAAATGTAATCTTGTGCCGAAATTTTGTCGGAGGGACCTTACGGGTTTTGTACTTAAATAGTTTATTTTCGGCGATACATGGTTCAAGAATATAATGTTTTCAAACTATATGTTTATCACCATCAGTGAATGTTTAGTTAAATGTATGCAAAATATTTACTAACAACTATATGATATAGCGGTTTAAGAGCGTTTTCCGCGTACAGCCTCCTAGGGTGTACTAATAAGTTAGTTTTCCTTAGTTATCCATGTCTCTGATGTAAGCGACAGTTTACCAATATTTGTCTTTCAAAAAAAATATTAAGGACTATTAATGGTTTATAACAACAAAAGAACATGCATGATATTGAGACTACGGTGTTGCAACGTTCTAGTTAATGACCCGTCATAAACAGTTGGTCGCTGCGTATTAATTGGAAAATTGTTATCAAAAATAATAAAGAATATTTGTTACCTAATTAAAGCATTTACTTATAAATTTTCATTTATGCTTTTTGTTAAAAAATTATTGATAAAGTTATTATGTAAAAGGGTTTTCATACCAGAACTCTTTATGACCAACGTATTACTAAACCTGATTACCGCCGCAGTATGACGTCACAGAGTAGTGATTTTGAAAAAATTCAAGAATTTTTCAAAGAATTATTATCTTTACAAATTGCAGATATGAAGTTAAAGAATGAAAATATTTTCATATTGTAAATGTCTGTGATGACTGATGAGTCAGCTTAAAAAAATCAAGGTACTATTTTTGTGCCCCCACTTTAGTGGCGGGCATTTAGATTTACCCTTGTCCGTCCGTCCGTCTGTCCGTCCATCCCTCTGTCTGTACGAGGTTAACCTAGAACGGCAAGTTGGATTTTTCTTAAGTTCTACCTGTACCAATGGCTTCATAATTTACGCACTTACTAATCCATACAAAGTATATGATCTGGGCAAGTTACATAACTATGGCTTCCATTTGCATCAAGTTATGGCCCTTTTCAGCACTTAGAAAATGAATAATGGTTAACCTTAAAACCGGCAAGTTGGAAATAACTTATGTTCTATCTGAACTAATGGCTTAATAATTTTCACACTTACTTATCAATACAATGTACATGATATGGCGAAGTTATATAAATGTGCCATCCATTTTCCCAGTAATTTCCCTTTTTATCACTTTGAAAAAGGGCCTTGTATGGTTAACCTATTCCGCAAAGTTGGATTTATCAAAAATTTTCACCTAATTACTTAATTTATTTAATGATATCTTTCATATTTGGTAGGTGGATACCTTTAACGGTCCTCTAATTTTTTGTGGCGTTAGGCGTCTCTAGGTCAAGGTCAAGGTCACTTGTGTAAAAAAATAAATCTAAACATTTCTGCTCATACAGCCTTTATTTTTAAGTTAATGTCTTTCATGTTTATAATAGTCATACCAAGGAAGGTCCTCTACCTTTTCCTTTAGTAAGGGGTCATTTGGGTCAAGGTCACCAATGTCAAAAATAGATTTTTTACACTTTAACAGGTGCATTAACCTTATTCTATCGACAGATGTCTTGTATATTTTGTAGGAACATAAAATTGAGGTATTCTCATTTGGATGGAGGTAGGGGTCAGTTGGGTCAAGGTCACCAGTGCTAAAAATAGATTTTTACACTTTTGCTCATACAGCCTTTATTTATTGACAGATTTGTATTATAATTTGTAGGAAGATAACTTACATGGTATTCTTCCTTTGGATGGAGTTAGGGGTCAGTTGGGTCAAGGAAGAGACATAGATAACAGAGATAGGCAACTACCTAACCAGTTAAAATATCACGCGTTCCTGTTAAACTTAAAACTTGTAGCAAGTAAAACTTATTAACCAGATATCAAAATCAGGAAAATAATACATTTTCTGAAAGCTTATGCATTTGTCTATGGCTGCAGGTAAAAATATTTACAGTTCTTATTTAAATAAATGATCGATTTTTAAAGAGAACTACTTATTAATTTTTGTTACAAAACTATTCATGTGATGAAAAAACTGGCTCAGTGGGTATGTTCTGCTATGTTTTTCTAAGTGAAAGGCATGGAAAGTTACCAATATTTTAACATGCAGCTATAGATGAAAGATTTACTTTTCAAATGGTATATAATATTAAAGGATAAAATGTACATCCATAAAGTTTTATTTGCTACAAAATGCCTAATTTTTCACTTTTTTATGGGCATGAGTGATATTTCAATGGAGTATATAGGAGCTGCTTATCTCTGTTATCTATGTCTCTGGTCAAGGTCAACAGTGCTAAAAATAGATTTTTACACTTTTGCCCATACAACCTTTATATATTGACAGATTTATTTCATATTTGGTAGGAAAATAAGTTGCATGATGTTCTTCCTTTGGATGGAGTTAGGGGCCAGTTGGGTCAAGGTCACCAGTGCTAAAAATAGATTTTTTACACTTTTGCCCATACAGCCTTTATTTTAAATATTGTTACTGACAAGAATCTGACTCGGGGGCATTTGTGTTTAACAAACACGTTCTTGTTTTCTTAAGGGATCAACTTCATATTTCAAATATATATTCCTCATCATTAACCACATGTTATGTGACAAGGTTCATAACTCTAGCACCAATAATGCAAGAATTATCTCCCCATAAACTTAGATTTTTTTACTTGAAAAATGTTATTTTTTACTATAACTTCTTTAGTTTTAAAGGTATCTACCTCAAACTTCAAATACTAATACATCTTATCATCAATTACATCTTATGTGACAAAGTTCATAACTCTTGAAGCAATATTTTCAGATTTATCTCTCTTTGAACTTAAGATTTTCTTTAAGAAATATTATAACTTCTTTACTTTTTATGGTATCTACTTCAAACTTCAAATATATATTTCTTATCATTTCACACATGTTGTGTGACAAGGTTCATAACTCTAGCATAACTATTTCCAGAATTATTTCCCCTTGAACTTGGAATTTATGTTAACAAATGTTATTAATTTACTATAACTTAATACATAATTATACATGATTTATTTTTCTTTCATAGTTTTGTCTTGCTTACTGCATCCAGTATTTTATAAGTCGAGCTACGCTGTCTCCTGTGACAGCTCTTGTTGTAAAGGTATTGACATAATATTTAATAAAATAAAGGTACACTAAGGCGACAATGATCCATGCCAAATACTAATACATGTGTATTGTACTAAGGGGTGGGATGATTTGAAATAATTTAAATGAAACAAGTGACAAGGGTGTTTTTTTACTTCCTCACACCTTATTTTAACCGTTATAGGCATAAGTGACAATAAAGAAGCTCTCATATGTGTATGTTTGAAAATACAAACTGACTTCCAAACATAGGTCACTCACAGTAATCAATGCTTTTTGTATGCTAAATGTCTTTTATCTTTTTATTGATTATGTTATTCAAGCCCAACTTGGAACAATGTGTCTATATTGAATATTACTTTTTATTACTGAATAATACACAAAATAATGAAACATTGATTGATCTATGGGAAAGTGATCCGTTTTTATGTTGATGAATAAATCTTACAATCATGCACCTATGGATCTCTTCAGCACATATGGAGCTCAGATAGAATTTTGACCGGCAATGTCTCTATATTTAGACCAATCTCAATAAATGTTTCAATAAGGGTTTGTGGGAATGTTAGGCATTGTTTAGTGGTAAGATTTTGTGGATACTCTGTATTTGGAGTCCGTTCAGCAACTTTCTCTTATACACATTGCATATTCTGGGCACACTAGAACCCACGACAGAAAGGATACCTCGATGAAAACTGCAAAAAAATCCGAACAAAAATATAGAGGAAAGTCATCATGGTATCGCTGCATTTTGATTTTCTTAAAAACAGCTTTGAATTTTATATAAATGTTTAAAAAGTTGAAAACTTGCCCTGTTCAGATTGACCTATTTTCTCCTTCACATATTGAGTTAAAGCGCACATCTGGAGCAGCAGAAATTCACATTATTTACTGATGCTCATGATGCTCAATTTTGAGATCCATATGGGGTTCCACCCCCGTGAAAAGAATTAAAAGATTCATATATGTGGCAAATGAGTATTTTTGGAGACTGTAAAAAGATACAAAATAAAAATGATAGCATTTCTAGGGGTATTTCTAATAGGGGTATTTCTAAGGCATAATGGGCCTTTAAGAAACAGTTTGTGTAAATTGTTTTTATAGAAAATCTAAATATCTAAATCATTTTAATGTTTGGATAATTTCAGGTTACGTTTGAAACAGAATGTATTCCCAGTGTTGTTTCTTACACAGGGTATTGCCCCTAGATATACACCATATGATGACATGAGAACAAAGTCAGTTGAGATTGCCACAGAATTTGCCCTTAGTGCAGGACTATTGGTGAATATTTCTTTACAAATATCTGGATTTGTTCCCTACAATAAAACATATGAACCGTGCTATTTGCATAAAATATATGCTGAATATCATACATGCCATATTCCCCGCTGGGGGACAAAACCCCCGATTTTCAAAAATTCAACCATTAAAGCATCATTTTTACCAATAAACATAATCTAACGATAGACTTATACAACTTTTACAACTATACATGCCTGGAGTAATATCTCCCCCTTAAAACAGCAGGGGTCTAACGGATAATTGCATTGTTGGTTAATAAACAAATCAATGCATGACACAATTCTCCTTCGAAAAACCTGTCAATCAGTTTCAGTATTGCAGGCGCTTAACCAATGACAAAATCCGATACTGAATGCGTGACATATCAATTTTTGTTGGGACATGTAAGCCGGCCTTGAGTTTTTTGTCAGCATTGCCTCTGAAGTTGATAAGAAGTAGGGAATGATGCAGATAAAATATAATGATCAGGCAATAGAAACTCAAGGAATCACAAATTAGCAATGTTTGAACTCAAGGTAATCGATGAACACTGAGGAAGGATTGAAAGGAGGGAAAATCCATTACAACTCTAAATTTTTAAAAAAAGATAACAATAAATTATTAAATGACTAAAATATAATCGCAAAATAGTCTGTAATTATTCATAATACAAATGTAATTTGCTAAACTTTTTTAAAGTGAAAATCCGGATATGAAACTTCATTACGGATATATCCATGAAGAATTCATTGCAGATTAAATTCCAGAGTAAATATTAGATCTAGCTTATTTTTGACATTCTTCATTTTCTTTGTATCAAAAATTTGAAAAATATATTAAGTTACTGAAGAAAACACTTTATTCTTGATGTATAATAACATGTATATTGCTGAAAGAATCAACAATGTCATGTATGTGATTTCGGATACATGTTTTTAAGTTGTTGTTTATTTTTATTTAGATCCTTAACACAATTTTTTTATGGTTTTATATCATAAATACGATGCTCAAATTAAGATTTATTAATATTGTAAGTTCAAAAAGCATTTTTTATAAAGATATTACCGAATTAAACATTTTATGTAAATAAAGGCAGGTAATTAGAAATTTATTTTTTATAAAGTCTGAGTCAAATTCTTCAATAAGAAATGAATTTATATATTTTAATGATTACATATTATGTGCACAAATATTTGCAGTACATATTTTACATATTCTTCGATGTTTGAAAATTGTTTATAAACATAATAATATACATGTATAAAATTTCACTTAAGTGTGATTACAACCTCAATTACATCATACAGGATCTAATAAAATTTGAAAATACATGTATCAAAAAATGTTGTACAATTGCTCATTTTCATATGAAAATGGGGGAAATATAACTATATGTTTGCATAGTTTTAAGATTACGATTGGTTTGCTCTTGCTTAAAAATCCCCCTACTTTTGGTCCAAATCCCCTGCTTTTTAAAGCCAAATCCCCATATCTGGATGGCTGGAAATATGGCATGTATGGAATATTGGAAAATTTCCATTGACAAATTCACAATTTAATCTAGGAAATTCCAAAAACTTAAGAAGATTTTCCAATCCAACTACACATTATATAATTATGTTTCCCAAAAATTTTGGGAGACATATTGTTTTTGTCTTTGCCGCCTGTCTGTCCACACTAAAGAATAGGGATAGGGGGCCATCTAACTGTAAACAGAACAAAAGAGAACAATAGAGTTCATTTAGTAACAATAGAATAAGGGGCCATTGGCCCTCTATTAACCCATTACTACATGAACATTTTGTGAAAAATGGCTGTTTTTATTGAAAAGTCTCCTGTTACAAGTTCAAATTGCTATAAAACTGCTTCAACACTAATCAAACTTGGCACAAATGTTGACTGGACCATTGCCTTTGTAACAACATGCTCAGTCTTAAATTTCCTGTTACCATGGCAATGAGGGGACATCTCAAAATTGCCAAAAAACACTATTTTGTGTTGATTTTTTTTCCCATCAAAATTGATTTCAAAGTGCTGCAATTTCTCAATGGATTGAGATAGAGTCAAGGTCAGCTTTTGTGACAACGTGTTGTCTGTCGTCCGTCAGTCCATCGTGTTAAATTTTCATGTCAAATGACTTTCATCCAATTCCCCTTGGCCAAATTTAATGAAACTTGGCAGGGAAGCTCTACCAAAGTTGTTAAAAGAATAAAATTCCTTGAAGAACTCTGGTTGCCATGGCAACCAAAAGTGTTTTTTTAAACAAAATCTTAAAAAATCTTTCTGTCAAAAACCAGAAGGTGTAGAGCCTTTATATTTTGTATGTAACATGATCTAGTAGTCCTTTATAAAGACTCTTCAAATTATGACCGTAGGGTCAAAAGGGACTCATCAGTTTCATACAAGTTAAATGTTGATGCTGCATATCAAAGACGCAGCCAAATGATGTGAACAGTCACAGGTAATGTACAAAATCTGAATTGAAAATCGTTCTCTATTACAGTTGAATATCCGAAGCACTAATCAATTTTTTCTCCATGTTCTTGTTATGTGTCTGAAAGTCTGAAATATTTGTCTGTTGCGACAATGATTGAAACATCTACTCAAAGCAAAATAAATTAGATAACAATAAAAATTGAAATGATTGGTAAACTTGAAATGAATTCAAGACAATATGTGCCGAGAATATGTCCATTTAAATATTGGTGCGAATTGCATTATGTTCATTCGAATGAATTTGAGGACGAACTGTCTCTTATTTTACAAAAAGCAAAAACATGTCTGCAATATCAAATAATAGTTATTTGCCCCCACTTCAAATGCTTTGCATTTGTCTGTCTGTCGGTCCGTAGACCAAATGGTTTCCGAGTGATAACTACAGAACCCTTAGGCCTAGGAACTTCAAACTTGGTATGGTGATTGGTCATGACCAGCAGATGACCCCTATTGATTTTGGGGTCAAGGGGTCAAAGGTCAAGGTCACATTGACCTTGTAGGTAAAAACGGTTTCCGATCAATAACTAAAGAACGCTTAGGCCTAGGAACTTCAAACTTGGTATGGTGATTGGTCATGACCAGCAGATGACCCCTATTGATTGTGGGGTCAAAGGTCAAGGTCACATTGACCTTGTAGGTAAGAATGGTTTCCGATCAATTACTAAGGAACACTTAGGCCTAGGAACTTCAAACTTGGTATGGTGATTGGTCATGACCAGCAGATGACCCCTATTGATTTTGGTGTCAAAAGGGTCAAAGGTCAAGGTCACATTGACCTTGTAGGTAAAAACGGTTTCCGATCAATAACTAAAGAACTCTTAGGCCTTGGAACTTCAAACTTGGTATGGTGATTGGTCATGACCAGCAGATGACCCTTAATGATTTTGGGGTCAAGGGGTCAAAGGTCAAAGTCACATTGACCTTGTAGGTAAAAACGGTTTCTGATCAATAACTAAAGAACGCTTAGGCCTTGGAACTTCAAACTTGGTATGGTGATTGGTCATGACCAGCAGATGATATTTTGGGGTCAAGCGGTCAAAGGTCAAGGTCACATTGACCTTGTAGGTAAAAACGGTTTCCGATCAATAACTAAAGAACCCTTAGGCCTAGGACTTCAAACTTGGTATGGTGATTGGTCATGACCAGCAGATATGACCCCTATTGATTATGGGGTCAAAGGTCAAGGTCACATTGACCTTGTAGGTGAAAACGGTTTCCGATCAATAACTTTAGAATGCTTAGGCCTAGAAACTTCAAACTTGGTATGATGATTGGTCATGACTAGCAGATGACCCCTATTGATTGTGGGGTCAAGGGATCAAAGGTCAAGGTCACATTGACCTTGTAGGTAAAAATGGTTTCTGATCAATAACTAAAGAACGCTTAGGCCTAGGAACTTCAAACTTGGTATGGTGATTGGTCATGACCAGTAGATGACCCCTATTGATTTTGGGGTTAAGGGGTCAATGTCATATTGACCTTGTACTTAATGACGGTTTCTGACCAATAACTCAACAACTCAAGTTGCCTTGGTTGATATTTTTATATTAAACTAAAAAAAATGCTTTTGGTATACACATTTGAAGGTCTTATGTAATATTACAACTTGGCTGTCATTAATGAGGCCTACATGATTCATAAAATTTATGCATATATTATTTGGTAAGATTTGTAATAACTTAAATTGCTGCACACAACCTATGGAGTCACAATAATTATTACCTTGTGACTAGTCATGACCAGTAGATACTAGATAACCCTTATTAATTGTTTGTTCACTGAGTCAGAAGTCATGCATAATAACCTGATCACATGACTAATTGGCTGCTGATAGGGGGCATACATGTTTTACAAACATATCTTGTTATGAATAAATTGATTATATATATTCAATTCTTAGTTACGTTTTGTTTTCTTATTTATAAAAGATTAAACTACTTGATTAAACTAAAGATTGCATATTCGCCTGGAATCTAGGAATAGGACCACTAAATGTAGTAAAAAATGAAGGTGAAAGAGAACAATCGTCAGTCACAGAATCCTTCAAAATAACCTATTGCAAATATTTGTGATACATTTTAAAATAAACATACTTTTTTTCGCTCAGTTAATCTGTTGTATAACTTAAATGTTAATTATTTTCATGAATTACATGTCGAACACGTTTTGCCTGTTTTGCAAGCAAAAAAATATTTCCGCTGTGTCCCTATCGCCAATAAAATCTCTGTTGCGTATTTTAATGATACCTCTTGTTCCCTGCCACGATCGACTAAAGACTGGCTCATTGGCATGTTATTTATTAGGTAGATAAAAATAGATAATTATAAAAAGAAAATGATATTCAAACATGGCACTATCACTTCAGTTAAACGTTTATTTTAATCCCTTAAAGCTCTGTGACATGTTGTACATCAGAAAAGCTATTTTTATTAGAAAATTTGAAAACAATGTGATTTTGTTAAACTAAGAAAAAATACACAAAATCAAGTCTAAAATTTTCCCCA